GCTAATGCTATCAGTATAAGAAGGTCAATGGCCTGATCTCCCTAAATGGACAGTGGGGAGGGTCCTGCTCAATAAAACCAATCAATCTTAAATGGCTAATTTGATATTATCTGAGGAGAAGCATGAATGCCAACAAGCCTGCTATCTGTATATGTGACTCAATATGCCATCCAACCAGGCAAGCCAAGAATATGTAACACTGTAATGGATGAGTGGAGGTGTGCGCTTGCCTGGGAAGCTGTCTGTGAATCATGCTAATCCTTTGCTCACAGAGGTGATCAGGGACACAAGGAGCTAAAAAAGAAGCGGTCTCTCACTGGAGATTAATGTGGATGCAGTATGTCTTAAAATGCATAAACAAACAATCCCTAAATGCTGCCAGATATTCGTTTCTATAGATATATCATCTGGACTATACTGTATAGTAAAACAGCTATTCACCATTAGGACCCATTTTCATTCAAAAAGCATAAACTAACACCAATTTCAAGGCTTTTTTTTACAGATAAACAGTGCTGCCTGCCATCATACTCCACTGTAGCACTATTTATTCAATTTATCATGCATACAAAAAAACTGAATATTCTGGTAACTCGCCCTATCATATTCTAGGGAAACCCCTTGATTATAAACTACAGCTATTACAACTGTGCTTAGAATCAATTTGGTTCCTTTTTCCATCCAACTTTGAAGAAAGAGAGAAATCTAATGTGACTAGGGGAAAACACAATGCTTTAGAGTTTTGGAATCATACTGATTGGCTTTTGTCAGAATCTGTAGAGGAATATTAAAAAGGAGGTAAGACAGCAGATGACAAAACTGCCTAACTTGGCAAGGGTGAGTAATCAAAAGAAAAAAAGCTGAACTTGAGATGGTCGTCTGAGTGCTATTAAGAAGGGTTGGTTGTCACATGACGAGCATGCACAGGAACACAAACACTGAACGTGAGCGCCTTAACAAGAAACTGTTATGAATGATACAGTGAAGTGAATTCAGTACACATTATTTGCACTGTCAAAACTAACTAAACTCATTCTTTTAGGTATGGACACTGTCAAAAACAACTGACTACAGTTAAAAACCATCATGACTGAAGCTGGAAGCAAGCTGCAACTCTATGCAGGAATTAAAAGCAGAAGTGGGAGAGGATGGAAAACCTATTATCTGGCAAAGATCCTCTTTTACATCAAAATGTTATTAATCTTCACGATATGCTAAAAATAGTTTTAGTAGGCAGGTTTTCCCATCCTCTTGGATTCATGAAAACTTAATTTGAAAGCTTTTGATGTCTGTATTATGTTTCGGTTGTAGAGCACATCATCTGTGCGGTATCGTAGCCATCAATAGCTAGTTAGCTGACATTGTTCTACTTTCTTTTACATACAACATAATTTTGAGATGTTTGTTTAATATTGATGCGCCACCACTGAGCGATTTGAAAGCTCTGAAATGAAACAGTAGCTGTAACAAAGTGCCTTTTGAAAAGGAAGAATAGAGAGCAAAACAGTGCAAGTTTGAATGATACTTCATGATTTAGGAAGCACAATACAATCAGTCATTTAGACAATAGGCAGGTATTTTCACACATTTCATTTATTCAAGGCTGCATTTGTTCCTCCATTATTCTTTATTTTTATATATTATCAAAGGGTTAAAACAGGCTCTGCTGTTCCTTAAATTGACACATTCACCAGAGCTACACCAGACCTTTTTGATCGCTGTGGGCGGAAATCCAGAGGTCTGGAAACAGGGTAATTAACTGTGCCTCTGAGCAGCCAAACCTCGAAATAATCTCTCAAAAACAGTTAATCGACTGACTATATGTAATGTAGACGAGGTCAATAATAGCGACAACCCCACAACGAATTACTGTATCACAGCTTTTTGCTCTCTTGTGGTTTCTTGTTTTAGGCCCCACAACTTAACGGTGTGGTTCAGTTTCACTTCGGTTTTAAACTCATTTGCAACAGCTCTGATAAACTCAGCGTACACAGACTGCCCGACACCTCAAACAAATGTAACAACTGGCTGATGAAGAGAGACGAACATTCAGCAAAATTAAGATCCAGATATTTTCCTCAACAGCTGATGGAGGCCAAACCAAAACTAAAAAAAGACTAGATAATGGGACTACACTTGTCAGGTGGACATAAATGCAACACTGATGGGATTATAATGTTGGTCTGTGTCTGCTGGATGTTTAACTAAACAACTGTCTGCTAACAATCAACTTGTTTTAGAGTTCATCTGCACAAATGGTATCATAAAATTGCTTAATGTAGCTTCAGCTTCTGGGCTATACTTTCCTTAGTCCAGTGTGTAACATTTAGCAGGATCTATTGGCAGACATTTAATATAATATACATAATATGCATGTATTCTTGGAAATAAGAATAGTTATGTTTTCATTACCAAAGAAGAATGACAGATCTCGCTGGTTGCCCTCCATACAGGCCGGCATTTTTCTACAGTAGCCCAGATTGGACAAACCAAACACAAACTCTAGATGGGGCCACATTTTTCTCCTGTCTCGTGGCCACCGTAGTTCCTCCTTTGCACTTGGGAAGGGAGGATGAAGCGAGTGAACTGCGATCTTCAACTACACCGCAAGATGCCACTAACTCCTACACGCTGGACCTTTAAAAGTGACTAAACACATTATCTACATGGGAAACAAAATGTATCCGACTTCGACGAGGGAAAGCTGTACTTTTCACCCGGATAAGACAAATATAGAAAAGGGGTAACTGTTCCGTTTTTAAAGCGTTGCTACACCTTTTTCATTTCATTCCACTTGATCCCCAGCTGCATTAACAACCTCCTGTAATAAATCATGGATGCTCAAGGCTCTA